GCCTGCCGCGAGACACAGATAGCGCGGCTCCGCGAGTTTCCTCCATTCTAGGAGGCCCGTTTTTGGGTCAAGGTCTGGAGCGCTGGCAGGAGTCGGGGACGTCTCGGTGTCTGCGAGGTTTACATGACTGTCAGTGGCTTGGCACAAGGGCAGCGTTCAAGAAATGTTCAAGTGTGTGTGTTTGGATGCATGTGTGTGTGACTGAGATAGCGATCATGCTCGGCAGGGCTGGCAGTCACACCGGGTCATGGTTCTGGTCCACAGCTAATTGTCGAACTGATAAACCTGCCCTGGTTTGCTCAGATACTGTCCGATGGGAAGCTCTCTGAATGCTTTTCCTGTGTTGCTGTGGTGCGCTGTGTCTCTCTGCCCTATAATAGAGACCGAATGTTAATGCCCCGTGCCAGTTTTTTAAAGTACAGCACCATGTGTTTTCATTTCGTTAAAGAGAGCCAATAAGCATTCATAGACCGAAAGCAATAAGCCCCAAGAGGCCATCTGTTACAGTGATTTTACCACGGTTAAAAAGCATTCTTAAGCCCAGGCTCAAAGTGAAGAGGTAAATCACTGGTAAAATCACGGTAATACACGGCCTCTTGTGGCTTATTGCTTTTATAAAGTGGCAAGAGCAGCAGCAATATCACAAAATACACCAATGTTCAATAAATAATTAGTGGGTCTCACTGAGGCGAATGTTAGAATTACTGCTTTGAGTAAACGTGAATGTGATTTATAGTTTTCATCTGCTGGACGATAAAATAGGTGGAAAAATCCCACATATGCCCATTTAAGAATCAGAAGATCACAGATACTTGAGGGTGTAGGACTCTTTTCAATCCAGACAGGAAGAAAATACCTAGAAATCACCCAGAACACACTTGCAACCATATAGTCGCTTGCACACTTTACAGTTTCTTTGTTAAATGTTTAAATGTAGTTACAGTTTTTGAAAATGGCCTCAACTTTCCGTCGTTTCGTTCAGTAGGTCATGCATGCTCAGATGTGTTAGGTGACCAATGCGGAGGGTCAAGCAGAGGTTACGGCTCCCCTTCAATTAGCAGGTGATTAGGGGCCGGTGACGGGGCAGGTGTGATTTAAGACCGACACGTGATGGAAAGCAGCCACGCTCTACCCAGAATCCCCTGGGGCTCTATGTGCTAATGCAGTCTCACCCGTTCACCTCCATCTCCTCGTTATCCCCAAACACTCAGACACGGGCCCGTTACATTGTGGCTGATATTGATGTGATGTCAATGCTGCTCCCTGACAAGGTCTGCAGGGTGGTGAAAACTGGTTCCATTTTAGACCCACTTCCAAATTTCCAAGAACCGGGTATTCGATTTCGATTCTGCTTAACGATTCCTGCGTTCGCGTTTTAATGTGATTTTAAACGATTTAAGCGCAGGAACGGAAATAACTTGCGCCTTGTTTGCGTGCATTTCATTGCAGAAAAGGTTGTTCCGGGCCGGAACTGACTTCTTTCATATTTATCGACCAGTATGCAGAAAACTACGTCAGTATATCATCATTTGTCTTAAGTGACGTAAACAGATGAGAAAGAAAACGCAGGTATACAGTATTTTTAGATCTGTGTGCGTTCGGTGTTAAAGAGAGAGCAGCCTATAAACGCCTGTCATTAATGTTAATCAAAGAACAAAAGAAAATCATTCACTGATCTTGATCATCTTTCATAACTTGAATTAATCTATATTTATTTATGAAAAGTAAACTATCCAGTGTTTTTAAACTTTTAATTACAGTTTCTTTGCCTGGAATTTGGTTCAGTTGTATTAATTTATGCTATTGCTAATTGATTAGTTTGTTCCTATTTTATTACTGACTGTTTACTTGTCTTTAACACTTTAATATTTGAAATTTATATTAGTCTAGTTGTTTTTGCTGTGGTATTTTTGTTCCTCTTGGTAAATGTTCTGTAGGCTGCTGATTTTTGCTCATGTTATTCAGCTGCAACATAATGATTTGTATAAAGACAGAATAAATGTTTGACATCTAAAAGTTTGACTTCATTTTTTTTTTATATTGGATTTTTTTATCTTATTGCAATCGAAACTAGGAATCGATAAGAATTGGAATCGATAAGCAGAATCGAAATCGATAAAATTCCAACGATACCCAACCCTACACTCTTAAAAATAAAGGTTCCAAAAGGGTGTTTTTGCAGTGAATCCATAGAAGAACCATTTTTGGTTCCCCAAAGAACCTTTCAGTGAACAGTTCTTAAAAGAACCATTTTGAAGAACATTTTTGAACCCTTTTCGTCTATAAAGAACCTTTTCTATATTTGAGAGGTTCCATGGACGTTTAAGGTTCTTCATAGAACCATTGATGCCAATAAAGAAGCTTTATTTTTAAGAGTGTACAGGTGCGGCGAGACGCGGTGTGGCCAGTAATCTGCTGTCCTTTCTGTCTCTCGCTCCAGATTCATTCTCCTTCTGTGTAAATAATTGATGTCTGGCGGCCGGTTGTTAAGAATAGAAAGCGTATTTGCAGGTGACAAATGTCTCTGGCTCCAGGTCTCTCCATGAGAGGGAAGCGCAGAGGGCAGATATTAGAACGCGACCGGCAAACACGGGACGTATAGAGCCCAATCCTTCTCAAGTGCTGTTTCATAGTCCTCGAAGGGAATGTCGATTGCCTCTTCCTGTTTGCTTTTCTCCGTGAGCCCCATCGCTCCGCCAGCGTCAGATAAATATAGGTTTGTGTTTGATGAGGAAGACACCGGTGAGACGAGGTGAGGCAGGGCTCTGATGAAAGCCAGGCGTAATTACAGGGGACGGTTACCCGTCTGCAGACAAATATCTGTGGAATTAAATAAACCAGATTCCCTATCGACCAGTATGCAGAAAACTACGTCAGTATATCATCATTTGTCTTAAGTGACGTAAACAGATGAGAAAGAAAACGCAGGTATACAGTATTTTTAGATCTGTGTGCGTTCGGTGTTAAAGAGAGAGCAGCCTATAAACGCCTGTCATTAATGTTAATCAAAGAACAAAAGAAAATCATTCACTGATCTTGATCATCTTTCATAACTTGAATTAATCTATATTTATTTATGAAAAGTAAACTATCCAGTGTTTTTAAACTTTTAATTACAGTTTCTTTGCCTGGAATTTGGTTCAGTTGTATTAATTTATGCTATTGCTAATTGATTAGTTTGTTCCTATTTTATTACTGACTGTTTACTTGTCTTTAACACTTTAATATTTGAAATTTATATTAGTCTAGTTGTTTTTGCTGTGGTATTTTTGTTCCTCTTGGTAAATGTTCTGTAGGCTGCTGATTTTTGCTCATGTTATTCAGCTGCAACATAATGATTTGTATAAAGACAGAATAAATGTTTGACATCTAAAAGTTTGACTTCATTTTTTTTTTATATTGGATTTTTTTATCTTATTGCAATCGAAACTAGGAATCGATAAGAATTGGAATCGATAAGCAGAATCGAAATCGATAAAATTCCAACGATACCCAACCCTACACTCTTAAAAATAAAGGTTCCAAAAGGGTGTTTTTGCAGTGAATCCATAGAAGAACCATTTTTGGTTCCCCAAAGAACCTTTCAGTGAACAGTTCTTAAAAGAACCATTTTGAAGAACATTTTTGAACCCTTTTCGTCTATAAAGAACCTTTTCTATATTTGAGAGGTTCCATGGACGTTTAAGGTTCTTCATAGAACCATTGATGCCAATAAAGAAGCTTTATTTTTAAGAGTGTACAGGTGCGGCGAGACGCGGTGTGGCCAGTAATCTGCTGTCCTTTCTGTCTCTCGCTCCAGATTCATTCTCCTTCTGTGTAAATAATTGATGTCTGGCGGCCGGTTGTTAAGAATAGAAAGCGTATTTGCAGGTGACAAATGTCTCTGGCTCCAGGTCTCTCCATGAGAGGGAAGCGCAGAGGGCAGATATTAGAACGCGACCGGCAAACACGGGACGTATAGAGCCCAATCCTTCTCAAGTGCTGTTTCATAGTCCTCGAAGGGAATGTCGATTGCCTCTTCCTGTTTGCTTTTCTCCGTGAGCCCCATCGCTCCGCCAGCGTCAGATAAATATAGGTTTGTGTTTGATGAGGAAGACACCGGTGAGACGAGGTGAGGCAGGGCTCTGATGAAAGCCAGGCGTAATTACAGGGGACGGTTACCCGTCTGCAGACAAATATCTGTGGAATTAAATAAACCAGATTCCCTCGGCTGAAGAAGACAGCTGCAGGTTTGTGGGAAATGAAAACTCACATATTTAGTCTCAGGCACCAAACATACTGTATGCAAGTACGTGAACGCAAACGCTTCTAGCCATACAAGATCAAATACGTACAACATGATTTATAAGTATAAGATACGGAGTTTGAAATTGAATTAATTGCCTTCAACACGTTGAAGTTGAACGGAAATGACGGGACAAGGAATTTACTGTTTTTCTGTCAGTCTATCCAAATATCTATCTGTCTGATTGTTTATCTATCCGACTTTGTCTCTCTATCCATCTGTTCAACTATCTTTCTATCCAATTGACTATCTATCTGTCTGTCTGTCCGTCCATGCGACTATCTTTCTGTTCAAATGACAAGTCTATCTATCTATCTATCTATCTATCTATCTATCCGATTGTTTATCCATCCATCCATCCATCCATCCACTTTTATTCATTCAGCAGACATTTCTATCCAAAGCAACTTACAAATGAGGTACAATTAATTTTTAAATGTTTTTAGTGCACAGTGACAAGTTTAAAGTATGAGCTGGACTAGTACACAAGCAAGAGCAGAAGTGAAATGCAGAAAATGAATTTGTTTCGTGCCTGTTGGAATACATGTCTTTCCTTACATGCACAAGCTGCATGTGATCACAGTCTCCACAACGAGCGTCTGGGTCTGTTTCTCTTTAGCTGTCGCGAACAGTAGCTCACAGCCTCGCAGGCAAACACATGTACATGAACAATCTCTAAAAAACGCTCACTCCTTCTCATCTCCTCCCTCTGTAGATGACGACTATCTGGGATTGGGTGAACTCCCGGAGACGTTCCCCTCGGATCCGCCCGAGCCGCTCCCGCACTTCCTGATGGAGCCAGAGGAGGCGTACATCGTCAAGAACAAGCCCGTTAACCTGTACTGCAAAGCCACACCAGCCACGCAGATCTACTTCAAGTGCAACAGCGAGTGGGTCCATCAGAAGGAGCACACAGTGGAGGAGCGCGTGGACGAGAGCTCGGGTTAGTACTGCCGAGAGTGTTTGGATATTAATGATATATATTTATATATATATTTGAATAATTATGTTACAGGAAATATATGTATTTATATATTTCCTGTAACACAGGGTTCCTCAATAGGCGGCCCGCGGGCCACATCCGGCCTGTGAGAGAAAAAAGTTTGGCCCGCGCTAATTTCAAATAATGTGGCATTAAAATTCAAACACAGCATCAGAAAGCTACATAACTTACATTGTGTCTACACCGGACGCGAGTGGCGCAGCGCAGCGCGACGCAATAAAATACAAGAACTCGTTATAATCAGTGATGCTGTCTTGGATGTGGTGCGAGACCGAGTGTGTAGAAAAGAAAAGTGGACACGGAAAATAGACGATTCAAATGTGAATGGACTGAACAGTTTTGAGTAAATGAGTGAGTGAGTGACATCTTTGTTATGGAATACACGTGTTGGTTCGCAGTGAGTTCACAGTTTTAACGTACTGTTGTTCCTGCCGCGATTTCACAGAAAATTAAAACCATTCCTAAAATAGATAATAATGTTGCTTATTGTTACGGGTCGCTTTCGCGGGTGGTTAGGACAAAAACTACAAGGAAAAGATACTTTTTATCGCGTCGTGTCCAGTGTTGGGGAAAGTTACTTTTAAAAGTAATGCATTACAAATTTTTGTTTGTTCATGTATTTTTAATATTCAACAGGCAAAGTTCTTCTGTATCTAAAAGCAAAAAAGTTCATAATTGTTTCAATAAAACAGACTACTGGGGAAAAAAATCTGATTATTCATCTTGTGACCATCTTGTGATTATTTTAACAAAAGCAACAAAAATATAATAATTGTAATAATAATAACAATTATATATATATATATATATATACAGGTACATCTC